TGTATGGAAGTGAGAGCTGGACCATAAAGAAGGCTGACCGCTGAAGAATTGATGCTTTTGAACTGTGCTGCTGGAGGAGATTCTTGAGAGTCCCCTGGACTGCAAAGAGAACAAACCTATCCATTTTAAAGGAAATCAACTCTGAGTGCTCACTAGAAGGAGAGATCCTGAAGTTGAGGCGCCAATACTTTGGGCATCTCATGAGAAGAGAAGACTCCCTGGAAAAGACGATGATGCTGGGAAAGTGCGAAGGCAAGAGGAGAAGGGGACAACAGAGGACGAGATGGTTGGACAGTGTCATTGAAGCCACCAACATGAATTTGACCCGACTCTGGGAGGCAGTGGAAGACAGGAAGACACAACTTAACAACTAAACATCAACATTTCATACAATTCCAAAGACATAAGAACATCACTTTCCCTATCATAGCATGATCCAGAAGTTTTGGACTTAAGAACATAAGAAGAGCCCTGCTAGACGAGGCCAAGGGCCTATCAACTCCAGCTTCCTGTATCTCACAGTGGCCCCACCAGATGCCTCTGGGAGCACACAAGACAGTGAGATATTTGTCTCCTGATACCTCTCCCCTCATCTGGCATTTTAAGGTACCTTCCCTTTAAGTCTGGAGATTATACATTCCCATCATGGCCTGTAACCTGTGATGGACTTCAACTCCAACTCTCATTTTAGTCCACCAGTGACAAATGCTAGCTGGATCTGATGCAACAAAAACATTGTTAGGGTCTAGACTGAGGATTTAAAAGACATCTTCATGGGAGATGTTCTTTTCTTTCACTGTTCCCAGACTTTGGAACTCCCTCCCAAAGATATGACCTGGCAGGCCATATTTTTCCTGTCCTTCTGCATGTAGGCAAAGCCCTTTTAGTGATCTAAACTGTCTTAGATTCTTTTTAAAGAGAAAGGCAGGAGAAAACAGCTCAAATAAATAAATAAATAAATAAATAAATGAATGAATGAATGAATGAATGAATGAATGAATGAATGAATGAATGAATGAACGAACGAACGAACGAATGAATGAACGAACGAATGAACGAACGAACGAACGAACGAACGAACGAACGAACGAATGCTTCCCACTTTTCCAAGCTTCTGGAAGTTGTTGTTGTTGCTTTTTGTGAGGGGAGACTACTGGAGATTTGGGATGCTGCATAGTATTTATTTATTAGGGCATCTGAAAGAGAATCAGGTTTCTGCACTAACAACAGGTATTAGATTTAAAACAAAACCAGTTCCCAAAACCGACAGCACACTCTTGCAGTTTTCCATTGTTTCTTCTTCCTTTTCTCTATAAACTATAATGTATTGTTTTCATTCTCCAGAGCATGGAGTTCCCACCAGGCAGACACTTGTGGTACAAGTACTTTTCACAGAAGTTTAGTAGCTGAAGGAGAAGTGATTAGCCATTAGAAGCCAATAAGGGGGCATTTATTATTCAGTAAATGTAAGGTGAGGACTAGTTCTTCATCTGAACTAATAGAATTAGACGATCCCTAAGAAGGAGACAGCGTGCATTCCTCCCTTCTTTCCTTTCTTCGCAAGGTAAATTGTACTGTAATTTTGATGTTTCTAAAAATAATTTTAAAAGAATGATCTGATCATTACATCCACAATATAATGTGCAGTTAAGGAAGCATTCAGCTTCTCCAAGTTTCCGTTTGCTGGAATCAGCATGTCCTCAGAGGAATCCATGTCAGTCCACTCCTTTTTCAGCTACTAATGTACTTGGATTTGGCTCATATTTTAATGAAAAGCTTTTGTCAAAAGAGAAAGATAGCAAGGAAAGAAAAAAGAATGTATCGAACTCAGATGAAGAACATTCTCTGCCACTTACTCAGGTTTTCTGGAAAAGCAGTCAATGAGGAAAAGGAGCTATGAAAGCAGAATGCATGGAAACATTCCGGTCTACATTAGCCACTTCTCATAGGAGATCAACATCTGACCCTCCAAATCTTGCTGGACTACAACTCTCATGATCCTTCACTACTGCCAAGGGTGGGTGACAAATGCAGCCCAATAACGTAAAGAGAGTCATACATTTCCCACCCCCAGGCTGGATAATACCTGATTCATGTAATTGGACAATTCTTATGGTATGAACATGGGATAGTTTAGAACTGCCTTGAGTGGCCATGACAGAACATTTAGATAACAAAGAAATATACTTCTAAATAACTGAATTCTTTGTGTTCATTAAATATTGCAAAACAATGAACAGAGATTTTTTTCCACTAGTTGTTAAGTAAAAAAAGCCCACCGATTACACTCAGTTCTGCGCTGACATAGATGACGCCGTGTCTATTTTCTGCCACACACTGATACATGCCGGTATCTGACAGGTTCACATTGGTTATGGCGAGTGTGCCATGGTCTATACGAATTCTCTCCTGCAAAATGGTAAACAAATAAAAGAAGCATGGTTCAAAATCTAGACATCCTGACAATTGTCGCATAATTGTAACACAGCAGGGGCTTGAACAAAGTCAAAGTTGAAAGGGAACAGAATTATGAGCAATTTATGCCATTCAATCTATCTGTGAACTAAAATTATATTGTCTTAAATGCTCAAAGGAAACAAAGTACAATCCTTGGGGGGAAAGTATTTAAATTGGACTCTCTCCATTGATTGAACATGTGAACCATTTAGATTAATGGCCCCTTCAAGGAGGTAAACCTGAATCTAAAGACTACTTCTGTCTTACGGTGCGTCATGGCCTAACAGAGCCAGATAAGTTCTTCAGAATGTCTGCAACAGCAGAACTATTAGCTGTAGGCTCCCTTGAAGGTTAATGGGGAAAGTAATTGCGTTTGGTGGTCCAACTGTTCAACCCACCAGAATAAAACACCCTAAAGATTCAAAAGTTAATCATTTAACAATCCTTTCTTTAGTCTAATGTGATTTAAGTTCATGACCATCTGCTAGTGACCAGCAGGAAGCAAGTGGAATTAGTGCATTGAGCAAAAGCTTCTGCAATCATTTATCAGCCCAAGAAAATGGGATTCATGTTATCAATTCTTAGAAGCACGTCAGTGTGTTTCCCTACACAACAGCGGTTCAGCTATATGTTAACGACCAAGCATATGAATCGTATAATATAAAAAGTGATTGGCTTTTTCCTTGGCTGCAGGGCTGCCATATAATGTTTGCACAACCTTTATTACAGCTTGATCAAATCCAGGGAACACTACTCCCTTCTGTCAAAGCACAGGTGAAAAATGTCCCTTACTCTGATCATGGTAGGTGAGCAATTCGCTTAGTTTTTGCCTGCATAATTGAGACGCTCAAGGCTTGAAAGGATCCCCTCTGGTGAGAATGAAATAGTACCAATGAGATACTTGCTCCCTTTCCAGAGATCATTAATCTTTAGGCTGTTCATTCTGCCACAGCTAATGGTAGGTCAACTCTCCTGTTGCTGATGGTCTGCAGAGGTCTGCAGCCATGGAAGAAGGTTACAGTTACAGACCAGAGGGCCTGTTTAGATCCTGCCAATTCCAATTAAAAATTAGGAGCTCAAAAAATGAAATGGAGGGAAGGAATGTTACAGCTTGAATGACTCCAGTTTACTCCTTTTACAGTTCATACATAATTTGTGCTTTTACTATAAACTGTGCTCTCTTTTCTTGCAAAGTCATAGACAGCAAAAAAAATATGCCACCACTTAATTGCTCATTGCGAATATCCTCTGGAAATGAGTCCCACAGCTTCTAAGTTCCACTTGATTCAGAGAAATGCTTGTCAAAGGCAAAGAGTGGCACTTAAATGCCTAACTTTCATTGAGCGTTGGTAGGGAATTAGGTGCCTGAGGGTAATTTCTGCCTTTGAAAAGTACGGCTTGAAGTCTCATTGTTTTAACTACAAGGAAAGCTCAAGGTGATTCTGTCACATTCACTCAGCAGGGAAGGAAGTCTGCAATGGGATGGATGGAATTTTAAGGCCACACGGTTTCATCAGTTTCTTTTTTAACAGCAGCAAACGATAGAGACATAAAAAGGTCACTACATCACAGCAAATCCTTTCAAGTCAGTCCCCAAACTCAATGCACCAAGGACATCAATCCAAAACATTCCTCATACCTGGGGGATAAGCAGTTCTCCATCCTTCAGCCAGCTGTAAGAAGGCTTTGGTCTCCCGTTTGCCTTACACTCCCAGTAGATGCTTTCCTCGATCGCCACATGAGCATCGCTTATTTTCTGAACCCAGTTGGGAGGAGCTGCAGTGAAGGATAATAACAATTTTCTAACCGACGGTTTCTTTTCTGTATGCCATTAACCTTCAAATACTTTCCCTCCAAGAAATATAGTTTGCAGAATGAAAAGGGGTCAGTTAAGAATCTCAAAAAAGAATGATAACAGTAAGGGAGACCTTCTCCTCTATTCTTGTTATTTGTATCCACAACAACACCATTCTGTTTGAAAGTTGTCTCGCTCTACCAAGTATATTCATTTGCTAAAATGTACTTGCGATCTGAAGAGAAACCAGAGTATCTTATTAATTTATACTGTTTTAACTGTCTTGAAATGTTTTAATTGCTTCCATTTATTTTAAACATTACATGTATGTATTTTATTGGGTAGGAGACAGCAAATAAAGATTGATTGAAATGTACTTGACTGGATCTAATGGCAAGTAAACACTCATGTAAATTCCATTGGGATCATTCTAGCTGAGACTAGCAATTGAGTTTAGACTATCACCTGCTTAAGCTGCCAAGGGAATCCCGAAACTGAGAGAGTGAAGGATCTTGGAGGACATTTTTAAAGGTCCCTCAACAAACTTTAGTTCCAAAGAAAGCATGATAGTTAACATGGTAAACCAATGAAAGTCTCTGGAGCATGTTCAATGTTTCCATAGATAAATGACAGAATTCCTAGACATACTATTTCCCAGATTAGAGCAAAAAAACGAGATGTCCATATACTGGCCCAAATTCTCTTGCCTAGTTACCCTGGTGTAGCACAAACAGTGTTTTAGAGAAGAGTTTTCATAAGAAATCACTACAGATATCATCAGTTGCCAACTGTCTTGTTTAATTCAGCGTGCAACTGATAATGTTTATGGTGTTTTCTTAACTTGGGGCAATTTGTGTTCAAAAGTTATATCATTTGCATAGCTATTGCAAAAGGATTTAAGTTTCGTAATCTAGGATCTCTTCCCCAGACTAACACACAGGTTTGTAATCTAAATTGCTCATTTCCCAAAGAGTTAAATTTTCAACATGACTGTCATGTTATTTGCAGTCATCATCCTTGAAAACATCTGCAACTCGCTCGGATGATTAGAATTATCTATATAGAAAATGGATGATTTCCCTGAGTAAATGGCTAAATGACAGCTAATTTGATCATCAAAGAACATCTGATTCTTTGAGTAAGATTGGAGAATTTGGGTTCCTCAGATATTCTTGCACTCCTATTGTCCTCATCCTTCACCACTGCCTTTGCTGGCTGAAGCTGATGCAAAGTGTAATCCAATTTATTTATTTATTTATTTTATTTGCATCCCGCCTATCTGGTCAATCGCGGACCACTCTAGGCGGCTAACAATCTTAAAAAATAATACAGTAAACATGTAAATTCTAAAGCACAAAACACTACATTATGATGGGAAAACACAAAACATAGCACAGTAAGGGAGAAAAAAGAGGTCATGAGTTATGTGATGGGAAGGCCTGCCAAAACATCCAATGTTTAATTGCTTCTTGAAGGTAGCCAGCGAGGGAGCCCCGCGAATCTCAGGAGGTAAGTTGTTCCAGAGGTGGGGAGCCACCGCCGAGAAGGCCCGATTTCTTGTCTTTTCCTTCCGGGCCTCCCTCGGCGTTAGGCTCCTCAGCCTCACCTCCTGGCTCGCACAAGTGACATGGGTAGATCTTGGTGGGATAATAACATCTTCAGGGTCACACACTGCCCACCCTGCTGCTTTTGCAGCCACTGCTGCTGCAAAAAATGTATAAGTACAGCTATAGAGGAAGGTTTCCTCAGTGATTAATTATGCACACCTATTGGGCTTGCAAATCTGACTGGATATTTCAATGGTTTTAGTATCTGGCTACAGAGTCAGAGACTGGGAGTTTGGTTCGCCATTGTGCCTGTATAATCATGGACAAACTGCATAGTCCCAGGATGCCCATAAAAGGAGAGAATGGTAAACTATTTCTCTGTATTCTCTATCTCGAGAACCCTGGAAAGGATCACCGTAAGTTGAAATTGACTTTACAGCATGCTGTTATTATTCAGAAATGCCAGGCACAGTCAATATTGTTAAAACATTGACTGGTATTATATAACAGTTTTAACCAAAAAACTAAGTATCTGTTAAATATCAGCACAGTATGTATGCTGTTCCTAATATTGCCATTTTTTGTAGCGCTGATGGTGTGATTTCTGAGATCTGGAACTGCTTATAGTACAGTGTGAAATTTCTTGATATTGTTCCCAAAGCCACAGTGACTACGGGGACCACTGAAATGTGTGTTTCTTTCAGAGGTGAGATGATTCGATTGCCAGGTCACTGTACTTTGTTAGTTTTTCCAGTTCTTTATTTTTAACTCTGACATCCCCTGGAATTGCAATGTCAGTGATTCAGACATTTCTTCATTCTATTACTACTATGTCTGGTGTGTTATGTTCAAGGTGTCTATCCGTTTGGATCTGGAAATCCCACAAGATCTTGACTTCCTCATTTTCTGACACTTTCTCTACCTGATATACCCATGGGTTTTTGGAGCCTGGCACGTTGCATTTTTTGCATAATGACCAGTGCACTAACTTTGCCACTCTATCATGTCTAACTTTGTAAACTGTTTGTGCCATCTTTGGACATTTTTTTCTTGGCAGAGTCGACATTTGCTGTTAGCACTAATTCCTTGGATCTTAGCTTTCATCATGGTGATTTGGAGTGCTTGTTCTCATGCAGCAAAAACCAGTCGTTTGATTTCTTTCTTAAGGATCCCCGGTTTTAGCCATGCCCATGTTGAATTACGATCATGCTTTCCATCAATACTTCTTTGGTATTATCCACGTAGTGGTTTATTTTTCCAGCTGCTTATTTTTTTTTTCAAATTGTTGTTTCTTATATTGAGCCTTTGTTTCTGTTGTTTTCAAAATATTCTCCATTTTCACTGCCTTAAGTAATTTTTCTCTGCTTGTACTGATATAATAATTTAGGCTTCTTTTTTTCTCCTCTACTGCCTACTGCATTTGCAGTAATCCACAGCCTCTGATTTTTGTGGTAAGTTGTTGTTGTTACTATCAAAGCGTTATTTGGGCATATTTGATCAACCACTTGGGACATGATTTTCATTCTCTTCTCTTGCTGAAAGTACTACAAAGCATGTGAGTCCATATGAGGCAAGGAGAATAATTTAATATTTCCTCATCCCCATGTGTGAGAATGAGATGTGAGGACTTACATCTGTATTTTTTGCCTCCAGGCAGAACAGGAAAAGAAGGAAAGCATGCAAGGAAGCTCTAAGGAAAAAAGAGGCCCTGGGTGGGAAATTTGACCATTGTGGGGTTGAAGGGCTTATGGTAAAAATTCTTCTTTATTATGTTTTTTTATCCCTGGGAACTTGAAAGACTGGTAAGAGAGAACACAGGAAGAAGTCTGTCTCTTTGCCTGCAAGGATATTCCATCTCTCTTTCTGAGCAGACATAGGCTGCAGTCATACCAGCAAAAAAGGTTTCCAAGTTACTCCTTATGGATTTTGACCCTTTTTTGTGGGGTTAGCTGAAGTACGGCCACTATGGATTCTTTTATTCCCCCACTCTGTGCTACTTCTGCATTAAATCCTGACTGCCTGGAGGCTTCTTCTTTTTTTCCTGAGGGATTAATCACACAGCAATCACAGTGGTGTCCTGTGTGCATGGCTGAACCAATACTTTTTCTGGCATTTATTAGCAAGTGAAGTGTCGATGCTTTGGAAGATTTGTTTCATTGGCCTCTGTGCTTCACTTATTTGTGAATCCTTCCACCAGGTGGTGCTCCTTCCCCTGCGCTCTTTCATGTATTCCTCAGTCTTGGGGACCTCATCTTACAGCTGCAATGGAAACAGAGCCTAACGACAGTTTTTCTGCTGCAAGAGGCACAGAAACAGTGGAGAAACTTGGACCCATCAAGAAAATGTTGTCAAAACATTGATGTAACACAATTCATTCATTCATTCATTCATTCATTCATTCATTCATTCATTCATTTATTTATTTATTTATTTATTTATTTATTTATTAAAAAGGAGGCCCCAGAGACATAAACAACTCAGAGGGAAATATTTCAGTAACGAAGTGTAGCCTGTCATGTCACGTGACCACAATGCGTGACTGCTCAGTGAGTAAAAGACATAAAAAAGGGGGACATTTTGCTGGTGTGACCGTGGCCATACATAGGTTTGTGCTGTACATCCTCACTTTTAAAAAAATCAATTCTTTCGCCACTGCTTTCTTTTTGTGGTACTTCAGTTTCTCAACTCTTCTAAGCTGTCAGAAATCGACTTTAGAAATGTGTGACTGATACATTTTTTAAAATCTTGTCTTGTCTCCTGTAGTCATTCAAAATAGCTCTCTGAAGACCTAGAGATTTGGACTTTGATTCCCCACTGTGCCTCCTTGACAGATGATGATAATGAAGATGATTATTATTATATCTCATGCGTATAGCAAAGCAAGATGTTCTTTTTTACAGAACTTTCAGATGAAAATGCAAGGGCATAATCCTGTCAAATGTAAGCACTACAAGGTCCCACCTTCTGAGAGGGTTAGCCAGTTGCTTAACTTGTGGCAATGAAATAAAATAAAATAAAATAAATCAATGGTCCACTGAAGTATCCCCCCAATAATTTTTTATTTTTATTTTTTGCAAATTCTCAAATGATTCTCAATTAGAAAGACTGGTATCATCCTGTTTTCAATTAACAGACACAAGTCCGAGTTAATCATTTGGAAGCATTTCAGACTCCCACATGAGAGAAACCACTCAACAGCTAAACAGTCTCTTAGGTGACAGACCACTAGAAGTCCCAGACAAGAGTTTCTAGTAAAACAAATAATGTCAGGAAAACAACAAACACCATTTGTCTATATCTTTAAAGAGTATGTTTGTCTTATACCAGCAGAGGTCTCCATGATCCAGGATATTTAACAATAGACTATTTACTATAATCAGATGAAACAATTTCTGATTTCTTCAACAAAGGACAACCACTTTAAAAATTCCCAC